CTTTAAAGATAGTTTTGTTCTTATTTCTTGCCAGCTTTTATCTCATTTATAGGAAACTATTAACATCCTAAAACCCACTTGGATCTAGCATTCTGCACTCATTGTATTTAACCATTAGATTTTTGACATGGACAGAGCTGAGTATGTGCGTTGTGAATCTAGATCATAAGCAGGCTTATAAATTAGATAACATATTACAATTATCCCAGAAAAAATACGATAATAAAAGGGGTAAGTCTGTAACATAACTATATTGCAAGACACGGAAAAAATTGTAATGCTACTAGTTACCTCCATGATGTCTTCAGGCAACAAGAACACAGAACAACCGATCTTCCTAGCAACACTTATTATATAAGTAGCATTCAGTCTCTTGTCCTCCTCTGCATACAAGCAATAGAGATGTTGGGTTCGTAAATGTTGGGTTAAAGAATTTTTCAAGGTTAATTGAAATTTTCTGTGATAGCCGAGAAAAATTACCATCTTCGCCCTTTGTAACAAGTTTCCAGTTAACAACTCTAGGTTTAACAGCACTGAGAAGCTCCAGGAAAAATATTCCATTTGACAGGTTCCTGTCCTGAAATTAGGAAAACAAATGAATCAAAGAAAAGTAACTAGAAAAAATTGATATCCGGAAAGTAAGCGGATAAGAGGTAAAGATCATACCTTGAAACTGTCCATTTGGGAAGTTCTGCCAGATTTTTTCACCTTTCTATTAGCCCAATTTAGAATATCAACATCTGTGATCTCTTTTCCTAGGGAGTGGCCTCGCAAGTTCTTAAGGAGTTTAAGAATATTTGATCTCATCAACTGCCATAGAAAAGCTGAGAGAAACAGAACCCAGGAACATATAATCAAATTTATATTGCTAATTCAGCAGTAGGGTTAGCAAGATGAATTTAGAAAAAGGGAGAAAATAAACATAAAATAAAGCATGTTTATAGCTTAGGTATGGAGAGTATCAAATGACATGCTAAAGCTGTCTCCAGGCGAGCATGTTTATACCTTGAAATTTTGTGAAGACTTCAGTTCATAGAGTTTCACAGGCAGCTAAAATTCCAGGAGTTTGCGAAACATTTGAGGCATGGCAGTTATTCAAGAAAAAATTAACGTGAAATACCAACTCTGTGCACATACTGCTAGAAAACATCTTCCACTACAAGTTTTTTACAATTCAATGTTCTAGCCTATCGATTTAAAAGTGGCATGTTTGTGTGTGGACCGAAAGAGACAAATGTAGAACACAATTGGGATCCAATTGTATATATACCCTGAGAATTTGCATCATTTGCATTATAATAGTAGTGTGTGTAAGCATATGCTTAAAGCCAATTTCTGTTGAAGTTGCTGAGTGCCTAAGAATCAAAGATGGATTTTACCATTTGTTCTGCCCATAAAATAAGCATGCACAAAATGGATGGGAAATTGAGCAGACTGCTTAGAATAATTGTTTAAAATGCTAAAACAGAAGAAAACTCGTTTTGCAAAGGGTTTTGAAGTATTTAGGACCTGATGTAAAGTTTGCAACCTCAACTTTTATGTCCTGGATCTATGAGACTATATATCCACGTACTTGCTGCACATAATCTTTCCTTTTTTATGAATGGGCAAGAAAAATTAAATTGTCTGATTTTTGGTTTTAGGCAATTGTAATGATGTAAATAAACTTCAATGGAGGGGGATCTTAATGCAGAATGTATATCATTAAATTTGAATATGTGTACAGTTATGAATTCATTGACAAGGATTACTATTTGCTTAATGAATGTCTTTGATGTTCGGCCAAGCGTTAATGAACACAACAACCCAAGTATAAAATTACAAAATACAATGTCATACATCATAATGAGCGTAAGCAACAGAAGTGAACAAACTCATACAATAAAGAATGGCAACTTAGAAGAAAACGTAAGTAAATTGGGAAAAAAATAAGAACAAACTTACCAAGAATGAGCTTCTTGTTTCCTTGTACGATGTCATTTCCTGCTACATTTACTAGTGAAAAGTTCAATTCTTTTCCAATCCTTATGACCTGGTTGCAATTTTCTACCTTTCTGAATGGCATTTTAATTGGAGGCTTTGAAGCCTGCTTCCACTTAACTGATCCAGGAGATACTTTGTCAAGAACCTCCAAAAGGACCCACCTGTCACAAATTGCTTATAATATTTAGCAACTATATAAATCAGATCCTCACCGACTTCGGTAAAGTTCACAAAAAGAGATTTAAATCATAGAGGGGCCTTACATGAAATGAGCTGAAATTAAGGGAACTACTAAGAAATATACCCTACTAACTTTAGTATTAAAGTTGTTTACCCATTTCTGACATCCTCAAACAAATTATTAACATATGTAGCAATGCCAAGACTATTAATCCACATCCGGAAGGACTTTTCTTCTCTAGATACCAGGACATCATCATCCACGGGAGCAGCGGAAATTTTTTTGGTATCTGCAGATAGACCATTCCTGCAAACACAAGTAATTAATGCAATTAGATATTCCCTTTATAAAAAAATCTGCTGATTAAATGATAGACAATGCAGAAGTCCACTTCTTCCTGCTCAGGAACGCAACAAGTTGCACACAAATTTACCAGCTGAACTGTTCGTAGTACAAGATGGGAAAGGGTGAAGATACAAAGCTGCTGAGGGTTGACTATTGAAACCGTGAATGGATGAACAAAACATTTCCAAAATAGAAGGTTTTAACAAAATCAAATAAATAGTTAACTAAATTGTCAAACAATTATAAATTGCCAATATTTAAATTTTCAATAAAGCGTAAGAACATCTTCATTGCCTACTTTGCAAGAATCATTTTTAGCAAAAAAAAAAAAAGCTGGCCTGTACAACAGTTTGAACGAGAGATCATAGAGACCCTCTCCATCACTCATTCAATCCCAATATTAATGAAATCTGGCAAAACTCTAGAACATTTGAAGAAAACAAATATGCCTATGGTAAGCAGATCTGTGGAACAATTTGTAAGCATTATGACTTGCAACCTCCTGCCTCTAGATACTCATATGGTAAAACTGGCATCTTTAGTCTATGACTTCCCGAACAAACTTCCTCGGAAAATCTTCATTCAATAATCTGTCAAGTGCTCTTGATTTTGGCAAACTTTTTCCACCTTTAACATCTTAGTTTTGTTACTCTACTCTTCCTCCGTCATCTAGCCAATATGTGATTCCTATGAAGTGTCATGTGATATTCAAATAAGTAAAAAATATTATTAAAATTAATTGTAAGTTTAGGAGCATAGAGTCATAGTAATGGTAGGTTCTCAAAGCGGATAAAGTCAAGGAAAGAAATGCTAGGTTTTAACAGCTCCTGACATTAAGAGTAGCAAACATCCGGAAGGAACTGCAGAATGAGATAATTTCTATCATTTGCAGCCTTGGTGAGATAACAGTTGTTCTGTTATGAGAAGAATAATTCAATAACAAATGGATGACCATATTGCAAAGGCTTGCTTATGCATGACATAGATGCTGATCTTTTAATGGCAAGATACATGTTACTGCTTCATAGAATTTCACCGAAAGGTTGGATTTGGCAAAGAAAATGCGAAATATCCACCTCTCATTACAATCCCAGGAAGATGGTGCTCATGCATCACAATCTAACGCCTCAAGATTTCGCTTTCATGTTTGGTAATGTGAATATGTTCTTAAAAAATGTACAGGGAAGATAACAAAAGAGAGCAGATTCTTACCTATGCTGGAATACTTGTGCAACAAATGCAAGATTCAGATTACTTGAACCGTCAACAATGTCCTTTGGAGTTACGTATCTTTTGCAATCCAATTTTTCCGCTTGTTCAATTACCATTTGTGCCCTTGCAGTAGGATCTTTGGTATCCAGTATTTCCGTACTGCTATGTTCAGGTGCAAGAGCATTAAGAAGATAAGCATAAGCCTCTCCATCCTGTGAGGAAAAAAAATTTGTGAAATATCTATAAAGAAATAAAAAAAGAACTCACACAACTAGTTTCATATAAGAAGAAATGAGAACATGAGAAGCAAACAATTTGGTAACCAAACACCAATTCCATGAAGCTGAAAGCTTATTTTGTCTAATTTGCAACAACAAATAAAAGAACTAGCAAAATATAAATAAAGAACTAAAAACAAACTCATAAAGGTAACCAGATTTTTCTTGGTTACATATACAATATAATGAGGAAAACCTTCGAGAAGGCTAGATAGATTAACTCCTACAAAGGAAACTGAAGTTAATATCTCCATTGTGTCTAGAAATTGATGAAGTGATCTTACTTCAGATTATCACCCGAAACTAAATATAAATGTCACGATAAAAGAAGCAAGCAATTCTTGTTTCAATGTCAAATAGTTTTATCTTTACACTCAAACAGTTGTTGTAACATGGTACTAATAAAGTCAGAACCTTTTCGAATCTGGAAGTTACCTTCACATCAGAAGAAAAATTGGTTACAGTTTTCTTGTAGCCTGCTTTCTGGAGATGAAAATTCATCCATTTTAGTAACATCTTTTCCGGTGGCAAGCTCAATAGCTCCTCAACATCCTGTATTGCATAGTGCCAGCATAATACCATAAGTTGGATGGAAGTACATATAATCTTTTGATCCTGAATAAATAGGATGAATGAGTTCGGTAACCTTGCCATCTTCTACTAGCTCCACCAGCTGAGGCGTCTTCTTGAGATTCAGATCAGCTAATAATTGTATCTGGTACAGAACTACCCAAGTAAATCAACATCCAATTGACTATTCAACATATAATAATGTAATATTCCCAAAAGTTCCTTTTGGCAACGGAAAAATATTTTGTCCAAAAAAATTGAAAGAATATCGCTGTGATCTAGCTAAATGCACCAAATCTCTTTCTAATATGCAGGCCTTTATTATCTTCTTCTATGTAAAGAATACAGAACAAGTTCTGTACATACCTTGATTATTTGAGAAATCAGCCCGAGTAGCAAATGAGGCTGCAAATAAAGGGAATGGACACAGGTCAGCTGAACTGAATTTGTTCAAAGAAAGCATTAAAGGAAATACCAAAGTCTTTTGGATTTATAAGGACAAATTTGGATATGCCTCGTTTAACAATTTTTGCCAACCAAAAAAGTAAAAGGCTAGTACTCAGTCTTACCCTCCCTTCGACAAGATCCTGTTCTCCAATATTGACAACAGTGCACCCAATAGCCTTCGCAGAGTTCAAACAAAGAGTGTGATTCTCATTCCTCTCCCATGGATTCAGCTCTTGTTTTGTGTTGATAGCCCTCTCGTCTATTGTTCCCGGAACCGCCACATTGATCAATTTACTATGCAAAATTTAAGAAATGGAACAAAAAGTTATTAAGACCGATGCAAGAATCTAATTCTACATAAAAAATCTATATTTTCTCTTTTTCTACTGAAATTGGAAATTTGGCAATTAAAATTGGAAAATAAAATTCCCAACCATCAAAAAGAAAGAATCATACAAATAAAAAGACGACAATATGGAAATTGACAACAACACACAGAGAGGGAGAGAGAAGAGAGAGAGAGAGAGAGAGAGAGAGAGAGAGAGAGAGAGAGAGAGAGAGAGAGAGAGAAGAGAGAGAGAGAGAGAGAGAGAGAGAGAGAGAGAGAGAGAGAGTTCATCAAGACTACAAACAGCTTACCATAAGAGCACTCCATCCTTAGCAAGGTCAAATAGCCCGTTGGTAGCTGGATCTATTGGCAAGTACTTCTTCAAGAATCGATCCTCTCCAAGATGGTTGTTAATATGCGCCACATAAGATGCTTTCTCAGATTGACTAATGGTGTGGAGAAGCGTTGTTGTTGTGGCCTTCAAGAAAGATGTAGTATTCTTTTTACCGCCCACTTTTTCTGCTGCACGAGATTGAAGATTCAAATAGGCCTGTAGAATTCAACATTTCCACTTTTTCAAATCTAATTTATAATCCAATGATAAGAAATAGTATTTCAGCCTGTAGAATTCAACATTTCCACTTTTTCAAATCTAATTTATAATCCAATGATAAGAAATAGTATTTCAAAAGGAAATTGTTGAAAACTATCACATTTCAAATCTAATTTATAATCCAATGATAAGAAATAGTATTTCAAAAGGAAATTGTTGAAAACTATCACAGGGATAAAGGAAAAAGAAGAATACCCGAAGAAATGACTCAAAATCTATCTCCTTGCTTGTGTCAGGATTTGACTCGGCTAGGATTGTGGAGATATCTTCCTTGGTGAGCACATTATTAAGACCCTTCAACTTTGCCATTAGAGGCGGCATTTTTTCTACTGTGATTTGTCCTGTTTCACCCTTTGTAGAGAGGTACTGACAAATTACACCTAGTTAGAAGAGTGAAGAAAGAAGTACCAAACCAAGGTGCACAAACTTTGATATTGAATCTAATGAAAGATTTTTTTTTCCTTTCAATAACTTACTTTGGAATTGAGGCCCATTAGCTCCACTTGGGTGAATTGGCTTTGAAGCCAAGGATCAGAGACGAGAACACCAATAAAACCCGACATCTTTTAAAGTTTTTCTTCTTCTCTATTAGCTCCCCTATCCAAACCAGATTTTTAATGATCAAGAGACCAAAAAAATTAAAGAACATTTAACAATATATCTGTATTCCTATACCAAATGAAAAGTTGGCAGCAAGAATTTACATGGTTTTCAATCTCTAACTGTAAGAGCAACAATTTTTTCATTTTCATCCAATGAATATATGGAAAAAGATTTCAAATTACAAAACTTCCAACGTTGCACAACATTACCCTCTCTTCTTTGCTGACAGCTATTCCTATTATAATGAAAAGAAAGTAGGAAATTTTGCTATTGTAGACTAATCTAGACTAAACCTCGGGATAATTTTAGAGACTATAATGCTCTCTTTTGTATATAGATAGGATAAAAAGTGGGCTACTTTTTTTTTTACAAAGATACCAATTCTATTTTTGATACAGTTCTAATTGACTTAACGCCTTAAAATTTTATCTTACTATTAATTCTAATTGGCTAGTACCATAACATTTTATCTCACAAATTATCCAGTTCTGGGTTTGATGTCTACTCAACTAACCCCCCATAGAATTATGACAACTATGCGAATTGTTTGCATTAGTTCTCCAGATTTCTCTTATCAAGACAGGTCTATGAAATTCTAGGTCGCATGTATAAACTTCTGTCCTGGAGTCTAGTTTTGCATCAAAAAAGGCATCTACAAAGTTCATAAACTTCATTCACATAACAAACATAATGTAAGCTTACACCCCAATTTTCACTTCATTCACATCACAAACATAATGTAAGTTTTTTCTTTTTTTGGTCATAATGTAAGTTTTTTTTTTGGGTTTTTCTTTTTTATCCCCTTTTTTCTTGCGTTCACAATGTATGTGATCATTAATACAACAATACTCGAGTTAGAAACAATTAATCCTGGATCATATGCAGATAGAAAATGGAGTAGTCATCTCAAAATTTATAAATGTTTAAAGATCGGCTAAAAATATAAATATAAAACCTATTCGTTTCCAGCAGATAATTGCATAGTAATTTCGTAAGAAATATCCGAATCACATAAACTCTGCAAGTTAATTAACTCGTCTCGTTTTCTTTTCTTTTTTTAATTTCTCTCTTTCAGTAAGCTAGGTGTATCTAATCCGATGACCAATACAACAAGCACCCGTCACAAAATTTTGATCTTGGAGTCAAATCCAGATCGAAAATGGAAAACCCAGATTAAAAGTTTTGATCTTCCTTCATTTCCAGCAAATAATTCGTGCTAAATGAAAACTCCCAAGTTAGATAAAACAGTGCCAGTTATACCAAGCCCATTCTATGATCCGAAATCACAAACACCCAGATAAAAAGTTTCAATCTTTGACCCAAATTCAGATCAAATTCAGAAAACGCATCAAAGATATGATTCAGCCAATAATAACAGATCAACCAACATGCAAGGTACATGAAGAAGAATAAAAATTATTACAATTTTACCTCACATTTCCATGAGAGCTTCCTCTTTGTTCTGTTTATATGTTTGTTTGAAAGAGGTCCAGGCTTGTGGGAAGGAGGAAGGAAAGGAGAGAGGGGCCCTCGTGGGATTTCGTGCCAAATTGAAAGATTTAAGAAAGAATAGAAATGACAGGAGAAAAATAAGGAGAAAAGTTTCTTTTTTTAATTTAGTAATAAGTTTTTTTTAATGATTATTTATTCTTGCGGACCCGCGAAGACTGAGGATACCCTGGCATTAAGGAATGAGCAACGGTGGCACTTTGTAGGAGAAAGAGATCACTTGAAGGGTGACGCCTCTCGCCGCTTTTCGCGGATAATATTGGGCCGGGCCTGATCTTGTCTGGTCCAAACCCTATGGGCCACTGTGGCTGGGCCTATTAGGCTTAATGCAAAGTCTAGATGGACCGATAATTCTTAGACTAAATCTTATACTACTATTGTAATACACGGAACAAAAGGTTTAGGATCCTTTTTAGTTGAAAAACAAGAAAAATTTAAAATAATGATTTCACACTTTTGTTTTAAGTTTTGGGTCTTTTTAGGTGAACTACTACCATAAAATTTTAAAATAGTGACTCACACTTTCGTTTCTTGTAATAAGTAACTTGTGGTTTGGGGTCTAGTTATTTTCCTATTCGTTTATCATATGTCTATTAGACGTAGATCAAAACAGAAGATGGATATAGGATCTAATGTGAGAAAAATGAGTATAGAGCTACATTGGATGTTCATGAGAATTTTGTAAAGATAGTAAAATTTCTCAATTTAGAGTTGATCTATGTGTCAAACGCAAAAAAAAAGAAGCAAGGGACTAATATGGCTCAATCTGGAGTTAAATAAGCTTTAAAATAGATGCTAGAAGCTAATTTTAACACAAAAATTTAAGTTAATAAATATTGACCCTATCTCATGTTCAAACTTATCACTTTCCATTGTGAGGCTACGAACACGCGAATATCCTTAGCAGAATGCCCGATCCATTAATTAGTGCTTCTTGTTTAAAATGTCATGAAAAGATATGTATAGTTAACGCTTTTAGATAACTAATCATTTTCCTTCTGTATTAAAACAAGATCAGTTTGCAACCATCATATGAATTTGACTTACAAAAATTCTAGTAATCATTTTTTGCCTACGGGCACTACTCTACTTTGTGTAGATCGAGATTAATGGCTCAGATTGTACATCTTAAAATAAACTTTGTGATCCAAGCAACAGTTGGGACGGATAACCTTTTTTTTTATTTTTATAATTACTTTCCTCACAAGCGAGTTTGAATTTCCTTAGTTGTAACATAACTAGTTTGCCAATGATGATCGTATAAACATACAAACATACGGAGAAGATGCCAGAAGACACAAGAATCCAATAAATGCAAAAAATCAGTCACATGGCACACGAGGAACATCTTGAAGCCTAACGCAAGCCGAGCTCATCGTTGGTGGTTGGTTAAATTCTCATAACGACGCAAACTAAACATAATATTTCGTAACACCACACGTTCATAAGATGTCTTCCCACCAAAATAAGCATATAAAATTGTGAGATGGAATCTTCTTCGGATGAAACCACCTCGAGTCAGCGCTCAGAACAAACGACCGCTAGAATTTTCCTAGCAACATGACACTTCTCACATGCTCAAACAGTCTACTTTGAATCATTAGAGTTACTTATAAAATTATAATTAAAAAACCCACATCGAACCTTCGATAGCTCCATAATCAAGTGCTAACCAAGGGACAGAGAGCAATCACCAATCCAATACCAAAAACATTCAAGAAATGAGCAGAAAACTATAGAAGCACCCACCTTTACTGTCTCATAAACATGATCAATAACGGAAGAATGGGGTATCGTGGTAAAACCGCCTAAATGCACATCAACCGAAAAATTTACCAAGTATGAACGACATGACCAAATAAAAACCCATCAAGAATTAAAAGAAATCCTGAGCATATCGGTGATGGTAATAAAAAGAAGAATGAACCAATAGAGTATTTACCATATCACAACACCACAATATCCTCTTCCCACAAACATGCACATCTAACAACCCCCCTCGAAAAGAATTTGACCCTGCAGACGAAACAAAAGCATGCGCAACTCTATCTCAATCTCTCTCAATTCACAAATTCACAACATAGCCACTGACGCCACGACAGCCAAATAGCTCATCACCCCAACAACCACCATAGAAGAACCAGAATCAGACTTCTTAGAATCCGAACCCTTTGGTCCTGCAACTCCTTTAGCTCCAGTCGGAGCATCAGCAGCAACAGGACTCTCATCAGGAGTGGGAGCAGGAGCGGGAGCCATAGGAGGCTCAACACTAAAGATAGCCTTAGGGAGCAAAACTTTATCAACCTCGTAAACCGCAACTGGATAAGTTGAATAAACACTGCTCGTGATCTTAGTATTAGCCCAATCTGATCCAATCCGAATGAGCCCAGATGCATCGGTTAGGTTCAACGCGTAAGGACCACCAGCAAATGTGTTGACTGGACCTGAACTGCTCAAATTCTTGAACTCAGAGAGACTGTAGTATTTGGGGATAGCATGGAGAAGGAGAAGTGACTTGAGTTGGTCTTGAGTGAGATTGGCAAATGCCGGTTTCTTGATAGCAGAGAAGGCTGAGTCTTTGGGGACGAAGATGGTGATGCCTTGATCGGTGTCGTTGGCTTGGTTTTGGAAAGTTTTGATGACTTGGGTTTGGTTGAGGTAGTTGAGAAAGGTGTGGAATGGGCCCGCAACTGAAAGGAGGTCAGCTAGGTTGACGAAGTGGGGCCCGGGAGCCGGGGCTGGAGCGAATGATGGGGGCGAAGCGATCTTTTGGGAAGTTGCAGGGTAAGAGATGCAAAGGGTTAGTAGGGTGGCGATGAAGAAAGCAGTGGATGCCATTACTTCTTCTCTCTGTAACCGATTGAATTCTTAATTCTCTGCATGAAACATGAGAGGCAAGAATGAGTGAGAAATTTTAGTTGTAATGATTTTAAACTGAAGCAAACATGTCTTTTTGTGAATCAGCTTAAGACTTGGGTGAAGCAGTCCCAAGTTCAGGGACCATTGCTCACAAGTTACACATAAATGCCTACTCAGTCTAACTTTCCACGCAAAAAATTGCGTACTGTAATTTTATGTTTACGAGCCAAAGTTCTAGAAAATCAAAGTATATACTTTATTCGATACCAACCCCATTTTCTTGAGGATCCACAGTGATGATGAGAAAGATTTATACATATCTAACCGAATCAATTAAGAATATCATAATCTGATAAATCGACCCAGATTGGCTTATTGGTAGTATCCCGCTATGGTACAAATTTTAGCTTTATCCAAGTATCGAATAAGAAGAACAACCGGAACAATGGTATCACAATTGTTAGTAATGGTATCCATTAGAAAAGAATGCTCTAATTCCTTACCGGCGACTTCCACGCAAGTCACGTTTTTGTTGTAGGGGAAAGTAAGTTATTGATCTACAGCCTTCAGCATAAACTTTGGGGAATATAGTTCTTTGAATTTGCGATTTTGAGAAGATAGTTACACCCCGCACATAGGTGTACACCATGATTCTGGGTCACAGGGTGTTCAAACTTCTTAAATGTTTAGAATGACACTGGCTTGTTAAAGGAGGTCATGTCTAAGTTTTTTAATAAAATTGTGGGTCTTTTAGATTTCTTTCAAAAAGTTTCCATTGCTCAGTACATGGAACCAAATCTTGTTCAGATAAAACTGCTAAATAAGAGAAATCTTGTTGAGAGCCAAATCTTGTTATATGAAGTTGTCACATAAGAAGAAGAATAATCAATTGACAACATATGGTCAATAGCTTTTGTTCAAAGACTAGAAAAATTACTGACTTCAGTATGAGACAAGGTGCAGTGCTACACAATTGAATATGAATACAAAGATAGTAATTAGAGGGACTGTATGAATACTAACTTCATATAAGAAAATAGTTTCCTGAAGATTTCAGCCTGTTTGGCAATTTATCTGAAGATACAGCTGAGCAGATGGTTGTTTTTTCTTCGATATCAGTTTGCAACCAATGTCATGGAACCATACATGAATTCCACAAAAAACATATATTGCACGAAATTAACTACATTATGTGATTAAATACTTATATAGGTTTATTATATCAGGCAAATTACCCCCACATTCAGAATAGGGAAATTTAAACCCAATTCCCGGTATACAGTCTTCAAAGATGAGTAATTTTGCCTCAAATAAAAAATTTAAAATTCTGAAGCAGCGAAGTCTAATTGAGATCTTAACACCATAACCCATTTATTTTAGGAAACAATTACAAATAATTCAATGCTCAAGTCACCAATTCCATATTCTATATATAAATAAATCTACACCTAAGGCCCTATACAGAAGAAACAAAGGTCAAAAGCCCTAAATCAACAGACCCACTGGTGGGCAATTAAAGAAAAAAAACATCTTTTTATCTAGCAAAGTACAAATTTAAAAAAAAAAATTATATATAAGCAGCGGATCCGCTGTTCCACTGAAATTAAGGGAAAAAAAATTGATCTTGATGATAAATCTGAACCCAAAAGTCTAAGATAAAAGACAACGCATCAAATAAAACAACTGTTGAAGAATTTCTCAAGAAATTGTGCCTAAGAACTTAGAATACATAGATCTAGAAAAGTTTACACAATGTACCAACAATTCTTATACAAGATAAGAGTCCAAACATTAACAACCCACAAACATCTCACTACCAAAATGTACTAAAATAAATAGCAAACGACAGCAAGAAAATTAATGGAAAAAGCTAAAGGCTCAGGAACTCAAACCTGAACTGAGAGAAGAAAGAGCACCAGAAGAAACCACAAGAGAAATGCAAAGGAGAGAGGGGTTCTTATATAAGAGGGTTTGTTGATAACAGTAGTACAGAAATGCTTGGGTGGCAGCTGGAGGAGGGTAGTAGGTAGGGCCACTCAATTGCCCAAATTGGTGTTTGAGTGACGGATCAAGGAGGAGACCCCAAGACTGTATTTTTTTTACTTTACTTTTTAGCCCTTTGTTAGGTAGGATTTCCAAAGATGACCCTTCAACTAATGGTCCTATATATTAAAAATGTGATCTTTTTTTTCCAGCTTGTACTCTACTCTATCACCTAATATCTCTGCAATTTCTCAGCTTGATTATATCATCATCATCATCTCTGGTCTGGTTAATGGTGAGAAGTTTCAGTCATAAAAGCTGGGTGCTTTCTTTCTTCCTCCAACGTTTTGTTTTTGACTGGATGCTCTGGTCTCTGGTCCGTGTCCTGTTCCAAAGTTTTTCTTTGCTTGTGGTCCTGGGTAAAAATTTTGTGTCTTCAAAACGCTGCAGATTAAATAATTATCAACTTTGGCAATCTCTATAGATGCTATAGATTTGTACGTTTTCCGCAACTTTGAAGTAAAGATTACTGCTTTTGGTGCATCTGGTTGAAATTTTGAGCAAAATTTAAGATTAACTTTTACTCCTATAGCTCAGGGACTAGAAATCACCTGCCGTTTTGGGGGACTAGAAAACGCAGCATCTTCTAGAAAAAGAATCCAAGAATTCAAAATTTGATGCTTATAATTATGGGTAGACGATGTACCGTGTAAGGATTTTTTTTCATCTTATTTACTTGGCAATAACTTTCTAATTAGGATTCATTACTAATTGTTTTTTCTTTATTGTGAAAGATTCATTACTAATTGTCAGAATATGAGTCAATTATGGTCACAACTTTATAGTTTTGACCGTTATGGTTGGGTACTTTCGTTTGGTACCAGAACAATCCGGTCCCAGACATGACGAATTTAAAATGAGTTTCTAAAAATTGACATCGCTACACGAGTCCATATTTTAACCCACAAATCTTCGCTCAATCTGCGCCCTGAGAGGCCGAGAGACATGCTAAAATTAGAGTATAAAAATATAACTTTCAATCATTACTACAACCTCGGAGCTATGAATTCCATTTCTTTAACTTATCGCTCAAAATAAATCATCAAGTTAATACTTAAATCATGGACAAATATGATTAAGAAGACTTCTATATTTTATCCGTCTACAATAGACAGATTTTTATTAAATGATTCTCCTGATGAATCAAAGAATCACAACTTAAATTTCTTGTTCCTTGAAATGGTATAATCTTTAAGATGTTCATTCAAACCGTGAGCATTTTGCATATGAGTTGTCCATGAATACATATATCATAATGTTTACATGAAGTGTTCCAATTATTGTAAAAAATAATTAGTCACTGTAATTTTATGTAAAGGCAATAATACGGGGTAGTGAGATATTCTACGAATTTAAAAAAGTGAGGGTATAAGTTAAGAAAAATTTAAAGTTCAACCTCCTAATTAATTAAAGAATACTAATGTATAGATAGTAGATCATCATCATCATCATAATCATGCTGTTCTCTTTGATGGGTCTACTCAGTTTGATAAATCCAATCATAATACCCAACCAAGTGCTCTCTTTAATATCCACATTTGAATTAACAGGAACATTAAGTATTTGTTTATTACAGATAACCAATTCGACAAGCATGGATTGCCTACAAATACGACCCATCATTTCCAGTCATATGTCTCTTAATCGTGGCTATAATTAATGACAGCTTAACTCACTAAAAACTCAATCAAACTACTCTCTTTTCACATTAATAAAAATGTGATATGAAACCAAAAATTAGCAATTGTTACGCTCTTTTTTGTGACATTTGTGCTAACAAGGTTAAATAATCAACTAACTTCGTAAAGTCTATTTTGTCATCATAATGAAGATTGTTACAGCTTTTATACAATAGCAAGTTTTATAAATAGGAGTGCATTTTTAGGAAGACTTGGGGCTCTTAATTTGCATTGTTATTATTTAATCTGCTTTTTTAAATACATGTCATGTGGAAAACCGAATTTGAATTGCTAACGTTTTAGATTTTGGTGAGGTTGGGATTTGTAATACTCCATTTTTCAGTTTAAAAAGATATTTAAGATTAGCACATCTTTATTAAAAAATAAGTAAACCACCGTCCATCTCAACAGCAAAAAGAGTTAACTTGTTAGTTTTGTCCAATTCTATATTTACCATACTTTAATAATAAAAATTTTAATTAAATTTTACTACTTAATTGAGATTAAATATACAATATTCCACATAATAATATTTCTAGCAATTATCAAAAGGTTTTATTTAAAATGTCATGGGAAGTGTGTCTTCAATTTATCTTGCAATATCTTTGATTGAATATATTGCATAGCGCGATATATCGTACCGCAACCAATGTGGTATGCGCCCGCAAAGCTCCGCTGTGTTTTAAATATCAAGATTCTGGAGCCTCAACCGACACCATTAACTGAAGAGCCGTGTTCACGTGTTCCGCCGGAATAACTATAAGCTCACCTGTCTCAAGGATTGGACCCACATCGGCACTTTCCAGCAAAACCCACGAGCATAGCAGCTTTACCTGGTGTTTTGCGTATGTTTCCCATATATTTCCGTAATGGCAATCTTGGTCCTCTTCACCTTATAGTTAACTACAAATTTCGAGTTTTTAAGAAGCTAAACAATCTCCTATTAACTAGCAAATCTGCCTTATAAAAGAAGATTAACTCCGTTGGATCTTAATAAATAAATGATACAAAAATATTAAATATGTTACACAAGCCAAATTCTATATATACACACTAATAAAAGCAAATTACAACGGTTTTTTCTGCTTAATATTTCTACCGTTTCACGAGCATTTTCTTGCGCTACCTTTCTTTTTTTGATTAAAAAGGACGATGCAAAATTTAAGTCACCAGTCATTGCTAGTGGAAGTGACCAGAGAATGTTGAAAGACTACAGCAGCTCAAAATTTTTCAGTCGGGTAGTAAACATTCAAAGGTATTCACAGAAGACCCGTTAACTTTTTTTGGACTATGAAATGAAAATTAAATAAAGCCTGACAAACCGTTTTTTATTTTATGAGAAACCATTAACGAAAGTTTTTAATAGCTATATTGTAGAAGACCACGCTTTATCACAAGAGTTTTTTTTTATCTACTTCTAAAAGCTGTAAAGCTTTGACATTGTGTGCTTGGAGTCTTGGACGTTGTGGATCCAATTATGAAACAATTTGAGTTTGTTTAATATATTTCTATGGATTACATCTACATTTTAATTGATTGCGTTTCTGACTACTGTTGGGGATTCGAAATAATCAATCGAACCCTTGCCCTTCCGGACCTTGTGTTGAAAGTAGGAAAGTAGAAATAATATCACAAATAAATATCTAACCTTGCAAAAATAATAAAGGAGACGAACACACAGATTTAACGAGGTTCGGCAATGTGCCTACGTCCTCGGGAGCCACACCACACAATCTTTTTATTAATTGAAGAAGAATTACAAGCTCTCAAACTAGGGTTTAATCTCTCTGAGATTCTCTCTCTTCTTGCAGTCAAAAAATTACTCTCTTTTTTTCGTGTTGTTATAACCCTAAAAACGTTTAAGGTATATATAGAGTCCTAGGGAAAACAGAATCCAAAACAGTTTAGGAAACTATTTGACTGCGTCGCGGTCGACCGTGGCGGTCGACCGCGCAAATTCCAGAGAGTTGAGCGGTCGACCGTCGCGGTCGACCGTGGATCTGTCAGGTCGTTTTCTTCGTCGTTTTGATTCCAGCTCTCGTCTCAACTTTGGGTCTACACTTTAGACTAACATAAACCGACGACTAGTTTCTCTAGAAAGCTTTGAACCCTTGAGTTTTAAGCCATCTCCTACATAATCTGTCTGCTTGTTTTCTCGTCGTTTTGATTCCAGCTCTTGTCTCGACTTTGGGTCTACACCTTAGACAAACAATCTCCCATTTGAAGACCAAAGTGCCTGCAGTGAGTTCACCCGAACTCTCCCCTTCTTTGCATGTATCTTCTCCCCCCGAAAAAAAAATTCTTTCTTCAATCAACAATATCACGGCGAAAATGTCGATCCTCGTAGTGTGGCTCCGCCTTTGTCTTCTACTCGTGAAGGCCAACTGAAGTTACGCACAACTCCAGTTTCTCAATGGTGACTGCCTTCGTCAACAAGTCCGTCGGATTTTGACTCCCCAAAATCTTCATTAAATGCAACTTTCCGTCTTCAACTAGCGAGCGTATAAAATGGTATTTGACGTCGATGTGCTTCGTTCTGGCATGATATACTGGATTCTTGGTAAGATATATAGCGCTATGGCTATCACAATAAAGAACTCCTCTCCCTTGCTTCAGATCCAACTCTTCCAAGCACCCGTTCAACCAGATCATCTCCTTGCTTGCTTCAGTCACCGCGACATACTCAGCCTCGACTGTAGACAAAGTCACAATCTTCTGCAGACGTGAGACCCAGCTCACTGCTGTCGACGCTAAGGTATAAATATACCCCGTGGTGCTTCGCTTCGTATCATGATCACCGGCGAAGTCCGCATCCACGTATCTCTGCAGTACCAACTCCTTCCTCCTGAAACATAATGGCTTGTTCGTTGTCCCTCTCAAGTACCGCATTATCCACTTCACGGTCTCCCAATACTGCTTCCCTGGATTGCTTGCAAATCTACTCACAACTCCCACTGCATGGGTGATGTTTGACCTCGTACAAACCATCGCGTACATGAGACTCCCAATAGCCGAAGAATATGGCACCTTTCTCATATGCTCTCTATCTGCATCTGTCTTAGGCGATTGCTCCTCAGATAGCTTGAACTGACCTCCAAGGGGTGTGCTAACAACTTTAGCATTCTGCATGTTGAAGCTCTGAAGTACCTTCTCAATGTATTCAGCTTGGCTTAATCTCAATATCCCTTCAGCTTCATCCCTACTGATTCACATCCCTAGAATCTGCTTCGTTGCATTCAGATCCTTCATTGCAAATTCCTTTGCTAGCTGCTT